GTGCTTGGATAATAGTACGCATCGATGCATTGAAGGATTGTATCGATAGTAATTCCTGTTGTTGCTGTTGTTCCATTGTGTTCATTATTATTGAGTGCATGATGGATGAATGATGCTTCTTTTCTTGACGAATAGCTCGTTTACATGATTTTACTTTTGTGCGCCAAATCTTTTGAGCAGTTGTAATCTAGAACATGTAGAAAAAGGAAATATAAGATTGATTACAATATATGTAAAGGAAATTAATATAAACCTGTTCTTGTGTTGGATTTAAATCATAGAATGATTTGACAAGATATGCATCCTTAATATCAAAGTTTAATAGGATTTTCTTCTGTTGAAAATTGAGACGTAAATAATATAGATTGTTCTTGATAACAAGAAGAAGAGCATCAAATATGATATTCATTAGATGATCCACGGAAGTATTATTTTTCATTTGTGAAAGGAATGGATATGGTTGTTGTCAGGGTGGCCAGATTGTCTGAAAAGTCAGGACAGTGTCTGAAATTTGGACGCTTTTCTGATTTCCTTCTGATGTCTGATTTTTTCTGATCTTCATAATTTTCTCTGCTTTTCTCTCGAATTCTGAACTTTTCTGTATCATATGACAGCTTTCATAGAATCTTATCAGTTATAATATTTTGTATATAAGTAATTTGTTTTTTGTACTTTTTTTGAACAAAGTTCGAGTTTAGTGAAAGAATCTGACACTAAGTGTTTTCATTAGCTTCTTCCTTATTAGCTAAACATTATACTCATTGTATTGTTTTTATAGTGGAATACCTTGAAAAAAAAGTATGAATTAATGAACAGCAACTCAATAGACTATCTTTTACCATCATGATACCATAATAACCATTAGTTTTCCCAAAAATTGGCTTTTCTGATTAATTTCTGATTTTGCCAAAAAAACTTTTGATCGTTTTCTGATTTTGAAAAAAAAATCCGATTTTTGACTTTTCGATCTGGCCACACTGGTTATTGTAAATGTATATATATGTTACATTCCGCTTGTCGTAATTTATTTGTAATGATTTGTTGTCGATGTTTAATGTTCCTTTTTGTTTTAGTATGATCCCACTTGACCGAATTTTTGTGTGTAATTTCTTTAGAAATTTGTGATAACCAAATCACTATGGGCATGGTTGCCAAATTGGCGACATTATTCCAATAATGTTCTTCAATTTTCAATTGAAAAAATGTACAGATTAATTCAGCACGTTGTTGTAGATATTGTAACATTGTTAAATGTGTTAACCATTGCTCTATCTTATGACGATCACCAGGAGAAATCATTTTAACTAACAAATCTTTGAATTGATCCGGAGATAATTTCTTATAGTTTGGTATGAGTGTTGACACTTGCTTCCAATGATCATTAGATAAGTTGAAGCGCTTGGGCCTTTTATGATGTGTCGTTATCGGTGTTGAAGTGGATGGATCTGTTCCTGTTGATAGTAGTGATATTGGCAACTGACTTGTTGAATCATCAATTAAATTTTCTTCTGTTGTTTGACGTTTGTTGAAATGAACCTATACGTTAGAAAATATTATCATGTTTTCATCCACCAATTCTTATCATCGTACCTGATTTTCAATTAACTGTGGCATATCGTCGTCACTCTCAGTACCTATTGTAGAAGAATTATCAATTTCTTCTTCTCGTTCTTCTTCTTCGTCATCATGCTCATTATTAGCGCCATAGTAATGTATTTGTTGATTATCTTTATGAATCAATTTAGTTGCTTCATGAATTTCCTTTAACATATCAATTGCTTGGTTATTCATCGCAGTTGAACGAAATCTTTTTTTGAAACGTCGTAACTTCGAAGTTGTTTAGTTTTTTTTATTAAAGTTAGAGTTTTCTTGAATTATTTTAATTATCTATGGCATTAATCGTAAATGTTACTTCTATTGAAGCACAGTGATACATTGATATAGTATACTTCCTATTTGGAAATTTATTAAATTAGATTTGAAAATTTGTTGCTAAGTACAGAGATTTGTTTTGAATTTATCTAAATTTTTTAAAGTTCGAATGAAAAAAAAATAGATCTTTAAGCCATCTGATGACGATTCTTTAGCAGGAATCGAAACGCGCCATGGCAGCTATTCTTACCCTAACCCTCAAGATCGATTACTTGCTTCCGACAAAGTTAATTCTAGGTTAATATTGGTGGCTTAGCTATCAATTTATTTTGAAACTGATTTTATTATGCAGATTTCTATCTGCCACCTGATGATTTTCCCTTTAATAAGGAAGAACTCCGGAATTTGGTTATTAATTGTTTAAACTCATCCCTCACCCTCATATGTAGATCATCTCGGATGAATGATCCATATATGATCCAAGCATTTTCGCAACTGTTGACGAATCTTTTCTATCTTTTGAACGATAGCTTGGATCATTATGAATCATACATGAAACTTCATTTGTGAATGATCCATATATGGTCCAACCATTTTCTCATGTGCTCAATTAGTTTATTTTTTTCTTCTCTTTCCTGAGTAATTTTAGATTTTAGGGAAAGAACTGAAGAAAGCACATTGTTGTGCGTAGTCAGGACAAAAAGAAAAAAATTGAACTTTGAACTATTATGCAGAGGACGATGATTTTCAAGTACAAACTTGTACGATCATTCTTCGCACTCACATTTTTATGCGTCTTCATCAGTTAAAGATAGAACTTCCCACTGGTAAAATTCTTTCACACAGACCATAGTATAGCATCGCCAATGCTCTCTCTCCTCTCCTCTTCGGCTATATAAAGCCCCTTTCACTCCATTATTCTTTCATTCAAAGATTGTTCCTTCGACAAACGGTAAGTCTCTTCATCTATCAGCAAATTTATTCTATTCAACTTCCACAAACAACTGGCTTCTTCTAATTCAAGTGGTTATAATCAAGAACAACCAATAGCAAGTGCAATACAAACAATCACAATCAACAATGATCACAGCTTTAAAAACAATCCAAACATCACAAGTGTTGTCATCGAGTCTTATCTGATTCGCCAATTGATATCCTGAGTTCAATATGCATGTGGTATTACCACTTTCTCAAGTCATGAACAGCCAACCAAAACCATTCACATACAAGCAGTCAAATCCAGATGAATCAAGGCTAATCCGTCACTAAGCCCAATGGTAATACTCAAAAATGAATTCACATATCAGATTCACAACTCATATCTTTTATATTTTCCATTAAAGTGATTACATTTGGCGTAATTCAGATCAATCCAAATCCATCATCAATTCGATTTCGGTATGTTATGTAAATTTTTCCTCTCAGATATTGTTCTTCATCAGAGATAGCAGTCCGAACAAAGTCAACTAGTCCAACAAGTGTCCGAAGCGGAATACTCATTCGTAATATTAATTTCGAATCGAAAGAAATCCAGCAATAAAATTCTTAGCGATTCGATCTTGAGTCAAAGCTATCTGATGAGTCTCTGAAATCGAGCTGAAACGCGTCGTGGTATCTGATTGCCTGAACTCACCCTCACCCTCACGCACACTATCCAAGTCTAGCACAATCATTGGTTATTATTGTCACTGATTACAGTTGTATGTTCTAGCCATATGGACAATGTTCTTCTCATGGCCTAGTCGATCCGACATGACATGGAAGTCGGATTGTACGAAGATTCGGCAAGATTTCAGATAGTTTTCCATAGAATGCTCTGTGGTAGTACTGTGGTTCTAGTGGCATGTGACCCTCTCCGAAGCGTGACCACGATTGCTCAATGACGAAACGACTGATTTTTTTAGCACATTCCATCGGTAGAATTCTTCGTAGCTCGTTAAGAATTGTTGCACCATCTGGACTGTCGATACACAAAGTGTTGACATTCGGCGACAGACTGAGCAGTTTTGTTAACCATTCATATCCGTGAGGAATCAACCACCAGCCGCCGGAAAGAGTCAGTGTTACTCTTCGTATATTCGTCGATTTTTCGTAAGCGTCGAGTTCATTTGCTGTGAACATCGTTTCGTCATAAGTATCAATGCTAACGATGAGAGTCGTGCAATGGAATAACTGTTCGAGAGTGGTGTTTTGATTATATTTCAAACCAAATGATGGCTTCGACCGAAACCGATTGTCGACGTCATGTGGTCGTGGTAAAGTGAAGATATAGTAGCTGGCATCGGCGAGTCGTTCAACATGAGAAAAGCATGCATCTGGTTTGAAAGTTGAGCGCATGTGATAATGGAATCTTGTCAGACAGGGAAAGTTGCTCACGAGACTGTGTAGTTTGTCAAAATCGATAAATTCCATTGGCGCCTCGTCGATAATCAATGTCAACGATCGAAGATGATCTTTGAAGAGATGAAGAACGTCATCGTGCAACATTTGCATATCTAATTGTTCACCGTGTTCAAAGTCTAAGATTAGTTTTGTTAATGTCGACGGTTTTTGCACTGGAGGACGATCACCAGGTAAACGAAGAAAAACATTGACGATGGATAACTTCATTTCTTTGAGATTGGGCAAAACGTGGAAGATGTCAGTCAACGTTGTCAATGTGAATTGTTGGAGATGAACAGAGAAACGTCGAATGGTGTGCAGTGGACATGGATCGGAAACAAATTGAAAGCTGAATTCATCGAGTAGAATTAATGTTGTCAGGTTTGTGGATGCCAACGAAGCAATCAGATGGGTCAGATCAGTAAACAATCTCGACAATGCCAATGTCGACAAGGATTTCAGACGTAGAGCTCTATGGAGCAGCTGTTGAAGTAAAGAGTATTGCTCGGTAGCAAGATCAGTGCTTGCTTTTAATGTTAGAAATTGAAGATGAGTCAGACGATGAATATGAGAACAGAACCAGCGAAATTGTTCGTTATTAGCAAGGTCAAGTCGACGAATAAGAGAGTCACGTGTCGACACAATGTACTTGCGTAATGATGTGAATCTGCTTGACCAAAGATCCTCGCTGATCAGATCAATCTTCATGAAATAGGGTTCAATAATACGTTGAAAACGTTGATTTAAATTACTGAACGCATACAACAGATCGAATCTGTGCAGATAGTCGAAGATCATCGAGAGAATTTCATCGGACAGATCTTCCATGATTGCATGCAATTGTGTTTGATTGTAGTAAAGCAACGTACACTCACGAAAGAAACTATATGGTTTGTGTTCGAAACAGCCAGCAAATAAAAGAAAAATACTCTTCAGTGCGTCGATGAGTCATAGATATTGCACGAGAAAATGACGCATGTTGGCAAAGAATAGATGTGTTCGAACTTACGTAATGTCTCCGAAGTGTCTACTATGTCAATTCGTTTCTGCATTGATACTGCTCGTTTTCGGATTGATTTGTTTGAACTATACAAATCACTTCGCCAATTCGATGACATTTGTTCGAGAGCTGCGTGATGCTCGATTCTCGAGATCATCGCGCGTCACAAAATATGGACTTTTGAGTGAGGGTTCTAGAAAGAGAAGTAATAAGAAGAGGTGAAGAAATTCACTGATAGAATGCTAGTGCATCCGATCAATAAATTATTTATTGCTCCTTTGCTTTCAACTCGACGATTTCTTTCAATTTGCAAAATAAACTATTCATTTGTTCATTAAATAACCTCATGTCAACCGATTGTCGACGTTTCTTTTGCTTCAATGTCTTCTTGAACATTATCGCCACAGCTGGAACATATCCAAGCATCTTGCCTAAACGATAATTTGCCAATATCAAATTTAGTATAATCTTTCCGATATTGTTCACATTTATAATTCGATGGTTTATTGGTTTGTTGTCGTTCGAGATTTTCCACGTATTTTTGCATATGAATGAGACGATATTTGACGACATTGATAAATGTTGGGATGTTAAACCTATAATAATATTGATCTTGATTCTGTCGACTATTCATTCCATCATTGGATTCGAGACGATGATCTTCAATAATGAATTTGTCACGTTTAAATGCTTGAATATATGAACGAACTGTTTTAGGATCTAAACTTAAACAATCGGCTCGATCTTGTTGTCTAATGCAATCATGGTAAAATATGTATTCGAGAACGAGCGATTTGGGAAGATCGTAGAATGTACGCCTGACATAACGAATTAATTCACGAAGATGTTCATCCATTGTGTCCTAAACAATGATAAGTTTAGTGAATAGACAATGATCCGAGAACTATCTAAAGTATTCGAAGAAAATGAGATGTCTATGTCGTGTCGAAACTATTGTAAGCGATAAAATCTACGTGTCAATTACCCAAAGATCAGAAATATTTTTTGAATGACATTCTGCAACCTAGTGTCATTCGTTACAATATGAAGGAGTGAGGGTGAGAGTTCAAGAACAAAAAGGAGTGTGGGTGTGGGTGTGAGTGGGTGTGGGTGGGCGTGGGCGTGGGCGTGGGTGTGGGTGGGGTGTGGGTGTGGCAAGGGGGAAACAGCTGATTAGGAATCCGCTAATCATCCTAATCACTCCTAATCACTCCTAATCACCACTAATCACTCCTAATCACTTCTAATCACAGCTAATCACTCCCAATCAATATTAATCACCACTAATCACTCCTAATCAAACAGTGACCAAATCTAATCACTTTTAGTTAAGTATAATGTATAATATTATAAAAGAGATTCACAATCAAACAGAGGTTTCTTCTGTATAAATATGTATACCAATGTATTGTTAATACGAGGACACTTTTTAAAAAACTATTTATTTAATAAAAATTCGAGCTTTCTAATGTACAAGACAAAGATTAGTATATGATGCATTTTGAACGAAACAGAAAAATATTTGATTTCTTTCTATGTTGAAATTTGTCCACGCATATTCGCATCCTAAAAAAGAAAGTAGTGAGAGTGTAGTTTACAAATAGAGGTTAAAATACCATATAAGTAATAAAACATGTCACACACAAAAAAAAGAAAAACTTATCTACATCAAGAAATAATTTAGTTGTACAATATAAAGCTATGATGTAAAAATAGAACCATACAGTATAACTATGACATAATAAAAAATATTTTAAAGATAATTTCAATTCTTTTGTTTTTTTGACTGTTGATTTTGTGTGTCGATCCAAGTGTACGTTTACGATTAGGAAGAACAGCTGTGGTCGATTGTGAATTATTGTCAATAAGTTGACTTGATGATGTTGAGTAAGAATTATTTCTATTCGTTTCTTCAAGCTTCCGTTCCTTCAACAAACGATTAACATATTTACAGCCAGGTGATTTTAAATGACGATAAAAATTAGATGGTATTAATTTATTATGGAGTTTTCCTAATGTAATAATTGTTTTACATAGGCATTCAATCGATGCTTGGACACCATTGGTACCTACTTTTACGACTAATCTAAAATTATTATCTGCTTCTAGTTTGAATTCTTTTAGATTCAAAAAATTTTCATTCAAAGATGACCAATCATCAATACATTTTAATAAATGATTTCGTTGATCATCAACTGTAAGAGTACAATACGTGTTAGCAGTTGATACAGCTGGTGTTGCTGATGGAATTGCAAATGAAGAATAATTGATCAGATGTTTTGGTGCAATTCGTTGTCCTTCTTTAAATATACGATCACTTGCTATCTTCAAGATATCGCGTAAACATTGAATTTTTGTGCGATTAGCACTTTTGACGATTAAATTATTATCATCGATCTTTAATAATAATTTTTGACGTAATAAATCAGTTTCAACATAATTGATTTTTAAAAATAAATGTTCGAAAACATCTGTTGTTAGCAAAAGAATTGGCACAGAATTTATTTCTTGGACTCGAAGTAAATTTGATAATTTTGAACCAACCAAATATTCAATGAAAGAGTAAAATTGATCAT